ATTTGAAACAACGAGTATTAGCTAATGAGAAGGAAATGTGTCAAATGCACTCTCAGTATCAAACTCGATTTCAGACCTTGCATTCTCAATATCAAGCTCAGACCTTTGTTAATGTTGTAATTCCTTTTTTACCACCTACCATGGAAAATGTATTTCAGCAATAACAATTGAACACTCAACAACAACAACCAAATAGTTACCCATAGGAGCAACATCAGGATGATGGCAACCAACAACCAACACATGATGAGCCAAGTCACCAAAAACAACATTCTCCAAGATATTCTGATTAATAGATTTTTAGACAGCTCATTTTATAATATATTTATTGCTTAATTTTAAAAATCGTATTGTTGTTAATTACAATTTATTGTTTTATTTAAAAAACCAGACTTTACTTGTTAGGTTTTGGTTTATTAAAACCAAACTATTCAAATGAAATATTATGAGTGGTTAAACTTGTCACAATTTATAAATGATTAGATTTATCTTCTTATATTGATAACAAGTTTATTAAAAATTTAATAATTTTTTTTTAAAAAGACTTTTTCAAACAATATGGACATTACCTATAGATATATCCGTGGGAAATTGCAGACAAATATATCCATAAGTAATTATAGAAGGATATATCTGTGAGTAATTACAAACGGATATATATATACATATATATATATATATGTATATATATATATATATATGGATAATTACAAAAGAATTATCCGTGGCAGATGGATATATCCATCAAAAAATAAAACTATACGTACCCAAAGTTCCCAAGTACCCACAGATATATTCGTGAGAAAGTTCGTGGAAAATTACCCACAATTTTATCTATTAATAAGGCCATGAGAGTATATATAGATTTTTTCATTGATAATTACATCAAAATATTACCCACGATCTAATATTCGTTGATAAACATTTCATACAAGTGTTTTATCGATGAAATTTTATCTATCGGTAATCCGTGGAAAACTTGATGTTACCAACGGATTTACTGGATTACAAATGGATTTTGCCCCTCTATAATATCAATTTTTTTGTAATGTACTAATCTTATAGAAGAAAATATTGTATCTCGATTTGGCATTCTTAAAACAACTTCTACTGGCATTCTTGAAACAATTTCTACTAATCAAAGTATTATTTTTATTGGTCAAAAAATGGTTTAGTACGTTAAATATCAAGGTTTAAATTTAGTGACTTTTATACTGCTCAAGCAAATAGACAAATATAAGCTATCCCACCCTTTGAGGTGCCTCCAACGTAGCGAGGAAATTAGTCACTGCTGTCGGCGGTGGATACTCCAGGGACGAACCAAAAAAAAATATAAGCTACAAATAAAATATTGATTTCAAAACACATTGATTCAATACCCCAAAATCGACATGAAACTTTGTTTCAAGTTTTATGGGCATATAAAAACTCTCCAAAAGGAGCTACTAAGACAACATTGTACAAATTGGTTTTTGGTCATGAATGAGTATTGCCAGCTGAAATTAGTTTACAATCCATTCGGTTACAAAGACAATATAAGTTACCAGTCAAATTATTGGGATTTAATGTACGATGACTTAGTTGAATTGGATGAAGAGAGATTAACAACATTAAAAAATATAATGTAACAAAAAGAAATATTTTCTTGAATATATAATATAAAGGTTAAGTTATAGAATTTTCTGGTTGGTGACTTAGTTTGGAAAGTTATTCTACCCATGGACAAAAAAATGAGTGTTAGGAAAAATGGTCGTATAATTGGGATGATCCATATGTTATTGTAAAAGTATATTCAAATTAATAATTCTTATTTGATCAAAGAAGTAAATTCAAATAATAATAATACAAGTAAAGTATAAATGAAAAATATTTAAAATAATGTTGCTTAGCAAAGATGCAACTTCAAATTCCATTAATATAAATAACGAGTGTGGCATTGATGCAAAGAAATTTTTTGCATCATTTAAAATATTTTTCCTTTAAGTTTTGATGAGAGTTTATTTCCTATTTGAAAGCTAGTAGTTGAGAAGCATGAGCCTCTTCAAGTTTTTTTTTTCTTACTTTTGAGTTGTTCGATTAGTTCTCTAAATAGTGTTTTCATCCACCATAATTAGCTTGATTTTCTCAACAAATATAAGAATTTGACTTGATGAAGTAGAGGCATGAATTTGATTAAAGGAAGATATGGTAGCTTTTGGGTTGGAGAAATTTTTCCATAGGAGTGAAAAGAAATGAGCATAGAAAGAATGCTTAGAAGGTTTCTAAAGTAGCTAGAAGTGTGATTTTGAGAATAAATGACGATCTCTATTTATAAACGAAAGATCACGGCCGGGCTTTGTGAGCTTGGGCACATTCGGATTCGGAGACGATGGAGAAGGTGGCGGGGGTGGTGGAGGGCTCCACGGGTCCTTTGAGGGCCTCTTCTTGCCAAGGCGGTGGCGTCGGAGTTGATACGACACATGGCGGTGGAGGTCCGCGATGGCGTCGAAGTTGCTAGTGTTGGTGTGATGGAGACAAAGACGGAGGCGGTGTTGGTTTCTTTTGTTTGCAAAACCATTGTACACTTTCCGGCAAAGATCCGGACGAACCAATCAAAACTCTCCATTTCAAATTTCATAGTGTTAAGCACATTCCTTGCTGAAGCTTCGAAGCTAAAAAATTGGAACTTCTCTTGCCACGTAGGATCACTCCAACGACAAATGCTTATAAGCATTGTTGCTTATTTTTAAGATATAGCATAAGCACCCCCGCTGGAGGTGCTCTTAGTACATCTACAATGGGAGTTGTTTATAAGAAACTCCCAACCACTTTAGATGGGTCCCATTGTGCCACGTCATTCATAAGCAATTCAAACTACATTTTTACAATTTTTGCTCTAATGAAAATTGCTTATAAGCACCCTACTTTTTTACAACTCATATTACACTTTTTGACACTGCCCCAGACGTTCGCCCGCGCGCCTAAGAATATGTAAGTCTGGTAGAAGGATCGCGCGATTGACAAGATCGACCTGGCCTAGAGATTTGCGCGCGCCGCAGACGATATCCACGCAGCCACCGTCGTGTGCGTGGGCAGCTTCGAGATCCACGCTTGCTTAGAGGACCACGCGCGACTGAGAAGATCGACCACAGCCAGAGGTGCGCGCGCGACTAACGACATGGCCACCGAAGGGAGTCAATCGAGAGGGAGAACTAGGTGGAAGTTTTATCTGTTTTTTTGGTTTGCAAAATTTCTGTCCACGTTCCACCTTAGATCAACATCAACCAATCAAACCTCTCCATTTCAAATTTCATAGTGCTAAGCATTGTTCCTTCTCCAAGCAACCAAGTTGAAAAAATAAGAACGTAGAATCCTTCCAATGAAATTTTCTTGTAAGCACTGTTGCTTATTTTTAAGATACACAATAAGCACCCCCAAGTACTCTTAGTCATTTGTCAGGGTTAAAAACATTTCACAAACTTTTAATTACGAAATTGTTGATTTCTGATAAAAGCTTCTGAATTCGATAATTCTGTATATGTATTCTACACCACTTTTATATCAATAAAGTAGTATTTTTATATATTTATTTTCCCTTTTCTTTAGTAGTTCTTTGAATGTTTTATTTAATGAATGTTTCATACTTGATTCATACCATTATAAAATCTGACATAACTATTGAAGCAACTATATACGAAAATGTGTAAGAAGTGGTGATGAAATGGTTGATGTTGAATTCATTGCATAAACAAAGCATATTTAAGTTTTTTCTTTGAGAGGAAAGCATATTTAAGTTAAAATCTTCTGTAGTTGCTAATTCGAATAAAAAATAAAAAGAGTTGTTATGATATCTTCCTAAATTAAAGGTGTAATTAGTTTTTAAAATCAATAAAAATGATTTAAAATTTGTTTTTTTCATTTTCACTTTTATTTCTTCTACATTAAGTAGTGATGTGTTATTAACAAACAAATTATTTAAGTAATTAACTTATGCTTTTTTTTTTCTTACTAAATATTAATCTAAATATTTTAAATCATTTAGTAAAAATTAAAATAACTTAAAAAAATAATGTTTTATTTTTTGAAGTAGAGAAAAATTTTGTAAATTTTTTATTTAATTTGTCTCTCAAAATTTACATACAAATATAAAAAATCCCAATTTATCATAACTCATAATATATAAAAATATCTTTAATAAATTCAAATGTTTCATGTAATATATATATATATATATTTAGAATTTTAAAAAAGTAATAAATATAATTAAATTATTCTAAAACATCAAATGTTAGCATATTTTTTTCTTAAAAAAATAAAAATAACTTCAAAACTATTTAAAATTTCAAGGGTACCATAGAATTTCCCTAAAAGAAAAAATTCGCTAAACAAATTTCACTTAACAGTTGATAATGTAATTTTTTTACTATACAAAAATCAATCTCTTAAAAAAAAAATCTATCTTACGTTAATATCAACAAGAATCTTATTTATAATTTCAATTTGAAAATAAAAACTTATCATCAAGCATTGTATTTATCGGTCTGGCATGTGACACCGGGGCTCAACAAATTTGGAGGTCAAATATAATTCAACACCAAATTTTGGGCACACCCATTATTATTCCTTAGGTGAGGAATCTCAATCCAAGCATAATAACCTTTTAGACCCAAAATGCCTATGATCCGCTCAAAACTCATCACACTTTATAGTTTTTATTTATTTTTGGTACATCCACTTTATAGTGATCAAAGCTAAAAAAGTAAATTTGATTTCTTTAATTCTCCCTACTTTTTCTTATACCTCGGAAAATGACAAAAGCATAAGCCATGGAGAAGTAAAGATAAGAATAAAAATCTCGAAATATAGAGTAGTGGCGTTCGTCAACGAAGGCATGGTAAATGATACTCATAGGTTGTGAAAAAAATAAGAAAAAAAAATAAACATTAAGTGAAGAATATTCGAATAACTATAGGGTAAAGAGACCCGAATCCTGTGGGCTTGGTAGGTCAGTTATTGTTGGATAGATGAGTCATTTGTTTTGAAGAAGCAAAGAAAAAAAATTTTTGGTGGTAGGTGCGACATAAAAAAGGGTACCCTACCCTTCACCCAACATTCAACAACACCACAACACCAACAACAATAGTTACACTCCCACAGTAGCTCTCGAAACAGCATCGACAACACCAACAACAACGTTGTAGTGTGTTGTTGTTTCTTAGTGCACTTTTTATTATTATTTTTTTTATTGGTATTCTCTCAAAGAGGGTGAATCCATGGATTCTGATTATGGTATTCCCAGGGAACTCTCAGATCTTCAAAAACTTCGGTCTTTGTACCAGCCAGAGCTCCCTCCTTGTCTCCAGGTGCTCACTGTTGTCAGATCTTGTGTTTTTCAGTGGTTGTGGGAGCAATAAGGGTTGGCAAGTTTTGATTTTTTTGATCTGGGTAATGACCCTTTTGGGGTTTTGGTGCAGGGAACCACTGTGAGGGTTGAGTTTGGTGATGCAACCACCACTGCTGACCCCACTGATGCCCTCACCATCAGCAGGGCTTTTCCTAATACCTACGGACACCCTTTGGCTCACTTTCTCAGGGCCACTGCCAAAGTCCCTGATGCTCAGATCATCACTGAGTTCCCTCCTATTAGGTATGAATCTGTGTTTTTTATTGCATTGTTGTGAATTTGTTCATGTTTTGAATCTTGCAATACTGATTCTCATGTTGTTGTTGTAGGGTGGGAGTTGTCTTTTGTGGGAGACAATCTCCTGGAGGGCACAACGTTATCTGGGGTCTCCATAATGCTCTTAAAATTCACAATTCCAATAGTGTCCTGCTTGGATTTCTTGGTAATTGAATTGAATTTGCATGATGGATCTTAGTTTTATTTTTTCTATGTTATAAAGAAAAAGTTGTATTTGAATATGCTTTTGATTGCTTTGAATATTCCCATTTACCATGCAATGCATTACGCACAAGTATTTACCTTCACCTTGAGAAGTATAGATGTTTGTTAGACAACTGAATAACTAGGTCATTTGCTTATTCCTATCTCCAGGTGGTTCAGAAGGTCTGTTTGCCCAGAAAACATTGGAGATAACTGACAGTATTCTTTCCACATACAAAAATCAAGGTTGGTTGTGGCTAGGGGTGTTGTTGATATTAGTCATTAGCCAGTCAATTGCGTTAGTAACTCCTTGTCATCATACCATGGTTCTATTTTAGGTGGTTATGATTTGCTTGGGCGGACAAAAGATCAAATTAGGACCACAGAGCAAGTTAATGCTGCCCTTGCTGCATGCAACAATTTGAAACTTGATGGCCTTGTCATCATTGGAGGTATGCTTAAACTTCACGGACCTTTATGTACGATTATCTTTACATTGTCAGAAGAGGTTTCTAAATGTTGAAATACATTATCTTTCAGGGGTGACATCCAACACGGATGCTGCACAGCTTGCAGAAACATTTGCTGTAGCAAAATGCCCCACAAAGGTGTTTTTTACTAAGCTGATCTGGATTTTGTAATTTTTGTTCTCTAATGTAAAAGATGGGCAGTTGTTAAGGCTTTACTTTTGTTTTTTTTTATTTTTTATTTTTATTTTATATTCATGATTAGTTTGTTTAAAATTTATTTAGTTTGATTCCAGTTTACAATTTTTTGATTGTGGTAGTTGGATTCTGCAGGTGGTTGGTGTTCCTGTGACTCTGAATGGAGATCTTAAAAATCAGTTTGTGGAAACTAATGTTGGTTTCGACACAATTTGTAAGGTATTTGTCATGTGATGATTAAATTTTATAATTTAAATAATGTTCTTTGCATTAGAATGTAGTGAAGCTCAATATAGTTGCTCTTCTTTATGCTCTATACAGAGAATATGATGTTGTGAAGATGGTAAATTTGACATTGTATCACCTATTATAAATAATAAATACCAATATTGGCCAATTTATTTTCGATAGATAGGGCAGTGTGTATGTGTTTGTTAAAACTTAAAATGATTGCATATTCTTGATGAGTCGATGGAGAGTGCCTGCCTTTCTCCTGTCCAAAAAGAAATACAGTTTGGGATAATTGGGGCCTTGTCATCTTGCAAGATTGTGCTATAAAATAATGAGCAATTGAAGTACCAGTAAAATTTTGCCTTTTGTTTTTTCAGGTGAATTCTCAGCTCATCAGCAATGTCTGCACTGATGCTCTCTCTGCAGAGAAGGTAATGAGTCTAATGCATCTTGCTTTTCTCTGATATCCTTGTGGGTATATATATATATATATATATGTAAGCATTTTTTTATATTAATTTTCTTTTCAAGTACCTTTCTGAATGAGTTTCTTTTCCAGTATTATTATTTCATTCGTCTTATGGGACGGAAGGCGTCACATGTTGCTCTGGAATGCACTCTCCAGTCCCATCCAAACATGGTGGGTATTATTTTCTTTGCATCATTTATAGCTTAATATCTTGAAGTTCCATGCTGACAAACTGTTCTTTGCATGCTTTTTACAGGTAGTTCTTGGTGAAGAGGTTGCTGCATCAAAGCTTACCCTTTTTGAAATTACAAAACAGATTACTGATGCAGTTCAAGCTAGAGCAGAGCAAGGTTTGAACTATCTGAATTGCCTATCTCTGGCCTTCATATATATATATGTGTGTGTGTGTGTGTGTGTGTGCTGCAGCCAATATAAATGCTCATAGAGGGTGTATGAAAAAATGCAAACACAAGAGCCAAAGAGGGTTAGTAGTAATAAAAACAGCCTACAAAAGTTTGTTAAGAAATTGTGCACCAAAACTAATCACTGAATTTATTGCTTTGGCTCAACCCCCTCCCTGCTGGATCACATGCACTTCTTTCTTTGCCTTTATTACAGGCCTCAGACACAACTTCACTTGTGACTAAAATCACCAATCATTATAATTATCATCCCCTAGACACAGTTCTGAAACACACACTGCACATTCCATTCCGGAATACAATGCCAGAGGTTTACACTGTGAAGGTTGAGGAGGGAAGGCCTGCAACTGATGATGGAAAGCCATCTGTAGGACCTGTCTATAGGAGCATTTATGCCAAAGATGGTCTCTTGGAGTTGCCTTCTGATTATCAGTCTCCTTGGGATTTCTTCAGGTTAATATATATAATTTTGTTTACTTTTTCATACAGATTTCACATCGGCCACTGATACTACCAAAACATAGTATATAATTAGAGAGCAAAGTTTACTTTATAAGCAGAATTTATATATTTGAGTTAGGTCCATAATATATACTTTGTTAAGAATAATTTCATCATCTTGTAAATTCGTCAGCTCTCAACATATCTTTATAATGCATTAGTTTATACCAACACTCATTTGTATAAGTGGCAACGGGTTGTATTCCTTAATTAAGTTGTTTAAGTTCAAATCCTGACCCTTAAGTATAGAGTGGACTGTGTTGAAAAAGGAATAAAAAAAAATGCATTAAGTTATTTTATAGGAGGATTTTATCCGTTTTGTTCTGTTTAGTGACACACAAGAACATGACAAATCCTTTAAGTTCTGTTTTCTTAATCATTGAACGGATTCTTTTTTGAACTTAGCAACACACTTTAGAGGGTAAAGTGAGTAAACTTAGTCATTTATGGCACTTACTCGTTTTGGTGGAGTCAAATCTGAATGGAATATATCTAAGTACAGCCTAGTTTTGTTATTTGGACCACATTAAGAAGTAACATCATTAGTACTGCGTTTCATCCAACAATACTGATTTAATTTATAGTCTCATATCAACTAGTTTAAACTAGTTTTTATCTTTTAATTCCTGTATTATAATTTCTCAATTTATCAATTACATGTAATGTTCTTCATCCAAATTGTACGTATCATAGTGATGTGTCAAAAGACTGATAATTTTATATAAATAAAGAAAAAATACACGTCAGTTCTCAGCAGTTTTGATGATTTTGGCAGGGAATCAGCTAAGAGGAACCCCAACAACAAAATGCTAGGTAGGCGTCAAAAAACCGAATCTCAGGTATTAACTTCATCATTGAAATGATAAGAAAATAAAATATATAAAAAAAATATTCAAAAGTTCCTCATCGCTTATATGAGATTTTGTTATTGTGGTGGTGTGTGATAGGGAACCGAAAAGACAAATCCATCACAGGTTCAAATCTAAATGGAAAAAGCAATCACGTTGAATCATTTGAGAAAAGGGTTTTCGTTTACCTTTTGAAAGACAGCAGTGCATCATGATTATATCTACGTTGAATCACGTTGAATCATCTGAGAAAAGGGTTCTTCACACGGATGCCACTCAAACGCCGAACTTCGTTTAGGGTTTTCTATTTCTCTTTCTTCACACTGATGCCAGCATGATACGAATTCTGATTTTTTGTAAGAGGGAGGCGCGGGTAGTTTAAGGGGGAAAATATTTTATTTTAGAGAAAAATAGATTTAAGCGGGAAAATATTATTTAATTAGAAGAGGTTTTAAACCTCCGTAAATTAAATAAAAAAATTGCAGTTTTTTCACCTAATTTAATAACTAGAGGAAGTTTTTAAAACCTCTGCAAAATAACCTCTATTATTTAACATTTTTTTTGTAGTGAGTGCTCAACTTACATGAAGGAAGGGAAGATCACTCTAAGATTTTTTAAAGTTATCTTCAGATGATTGTTAGTCTCATTTATACTTATTTTTAGATAGGAATTATTGAACAATTCCACTCACTTCATGCACTCTTGCAATATAATTGTTCTCTTTTGATTAATTTTTGTGCAGATATAACTAACCCAAAAATCATCTGACAATACCCTGATACACCTCATTTTTTTGTGCAGGTATTGAGTTGAAGAGTTGAGGTTGAAGACCCGTTGGATTGAAAATTCAAAGAGCTAAGGAGCAGGAGAAGAAATATCACGCCGGGCACAAGACTACCCACGCTGGGCTTGTGAAATACAGAGAGCATCACACTCTACACTTCAACATTGCGCCAGGCGCAAGGGCATCCGCGCGGGACGTGCTTCAAGAAAAAGAGCATTCAAACTCTCTAGAAGACATTGCATTGGGCACAGGAGTATCCACGCCGGGCGTGACTCGAGACAAAGCATAATTACCTCTCTGGAAGACTCTACACCGGGCGTGAAGTATAATGCGCCGGGCGTGTAAACCCTATCCTGGCTCACCCAGCTCGTATTTGATGAAAACTTCAAGGGTTTCTTCCTCATTCACACATTTGACGACTTCTAGGAGTTGTGGAAGGGATTCCCGATGATTGGAACCGTTTGTGTATGGGTCTTTCCTTCGGTTCTTCCATCTCTATTTTTGTTTTACCCTCATTATTTTGAGCAGTTCTACCCATTATTTTGTGGGGTTAGATGTAACCAACTTAACTCTTATGTAACATTCACATTATCAATGATATATATATATATATAT